AGAGAGAGAGAGAGAGAGAGAGAGAGAGAGAGAGAGAGAGAGGAGAGAGAGAGAACGAGAGAGAGAGGGGAGAGATAGAGAACGAGAGAGAGAGAGAGAGAGAGAGAGAGAGAGAGAGAGAGAGAGAGAGAGAGAGAGAGAGAGAGAGAGAGAGAGAGAGAGAGAGAGAGAGAGAGAGAGGGAAAGAGAGAGAGAGAGACTCTGTGTGCTGGATTGCCTTTAGGTTTATTTACTTGAAAATAAATTCATATTCCAGTATTATTTTGATATTTACACTGATTCGGGTCAGAGGAATATGGATCAACATTAACATTACATGATCAAGAAGCCCCTTATTAATCATCTAATTCATTTTTTGATATGCTGAATAATTAATCCAATTAATTCATTAATCACATGCAGGGTTATTATAGTTAAAGCGGTCCCATAATGCCCTTTTCACCAGATGTGAAATGAGTCTCTGATGTCCCGAGTGTGTGTGTGAAGTTATAGCTCAAATACCCCACAGATATTTATATATAGATGTTAAAATTGTCACTTTTTGAGGGTGAGCAAAAACACGCCGTTTGTGTGTGTCCCTTTAAAATGCAAATGAGCTGCTGCTCCAGGCACAGGGGGCGGAGCTACAAGAGCTAGTGTGTGAGTGTGTGTGTGTTAGCAGCTCCGATTACCTCACACACACACTGAACATTTCAAAAACGTTCAGCCTTTTATGTTGAAAGCGGAGTCAAAGATGAGAGACTCTAGAAGTGACGACATGTAGAAGCAACAGGACATTTCTGAACGGTTAGTTGATGAGTTTATGCAGCTGATGTGGAGTTAACGATCTTCTAGTCATTGATTAGCATATTCTGTCATGATCATCTATAAAGCGTGTTCCGGGGGCGGGGCTTATGTAAATGTTAGTGTTTGTGATGTCACTAACCCGTGAAGAAGCTCATTGTAGTTCCTGCCAGCCGTTTGTTGTAGTCCTTAAAAAGTGATTTCTGTAAAAGCGAATCTCTCCCTTTGCTCTGAGCTTTGAGTCGTAACTGTGCAGATGTTGTTTACGCTCAAACAGCAACATCACACACTCACTACAGCGAGACAAGTGACATCACAATCAACCACCGCTTTAAATAAACCTAAAACTATATATACAGTGTATATATATATATATAAACTTTGTAACTTGAAATAAAATAAACTTTAACTGAAATAAAATGCAAAAAAAAAATGTAATTTTTTTTTATTTCAGGTAGTTGACAAGGCACTCAAACACACACACACACACACACACACACACAGACACACACAAACACACACACACTCAAACACACACACACACACACACACACACACACACACACACACACACACACACACACACTCACTCAAACACACACACTCACACTCAAACACACACACACACACACTCAAACACACACACTCACTCACTCAAACACACACACACTCACACTCAAACACACACACAACACACACACACACACACACTCAGCATCTCTACAGGTCATCAGAGCTCACGACTGTTTGACCTGCAGATGTTTCCCGTTCTCACATCTGACCCTACAGGCCAAGGGGGTAATCCATCGACCGGAAGTTGAAGCCGGCCGGGTGCCGCCATGTTGTAGCAGAACTTCACTTGCGTTAGCATTTCCATTGACTCCCATTCATTTTGGCGTCACTTTGACAGCGAATAACTTTACACCTGAGGCGTTCAAAGACTCCATTTGTCCATTATTTATTTCTAAAGAAACACGACAATGTATAAAGGGCTCCATTACCTTCTATGTTACATAATGGCCCCGTAGAAACGGATTTAGTAAAAATAGGCTAACGATTGCGTCATAACCACTCGACTCTCTGTCGCGCTGTACAGAAATGACCGTACAGACAGGAGGAGAAGCTCAAGGCGATCGGGGGGACGTCCCGTCAAGGGAGAAGCCCATAGATAATGAGTCCATAAAAGCAACGGAATACTTACTCCTGCTCACTCACGCCAAAGAACTCTTTGCTCAAGTTCCCCGTCTCTGCAAGATTAACGTTGGCAATTTTCACGCACAGCTACTAGAAGAGTAACGTCTGTCAGACAGGTTGCTCACGCCATCAAGCTTAGTTTGAGTCGGTTTGAGTCTGCGCGTCAGGAACGGAAGTGCTCAAAAATCGCTAAAAATGGCCTTCAACTGAGTTCCAATGAGATGCTCTGTCCACTTCTTATACTGGCTATGCTACAGACTCACCCTTCACTAAGCCCCGCCTTTAAAGGATTACTGACCAATGGGGCCTTAGCAACTGTTGCTGACATTAACAATGACATAACTGACTGTTACCTGCCCACGAATCTCCACAAACCCTAATGCTTTATGATTATTGCCAGTTTTAAATTAGATATTGAGACACTATCTTCAACGTGGTCTCAGATTTTTATATAATATATATCTGAGTTGGGAAAAAATGTGCTGGTTAAAACTGGGGGGCAAAAATAAAGTATAAATAAAAT